TAGAATAAATCTCAAGCTTTGCACCACAAGATGCCCCAGGATCTTGGTCTTTGCCTCTCTCTCTCCAGTCTTCTGTGGGCTTGCCTCACCCCTGCTGTCTACATTCCAGCTTCCTCAGTCTTCTCTAACATATCAAACTCTTTCCCATTTCAGCATCTCACTACACCTGTCCCCACTGCCTGGAGCCCACTCCTCCCTTTCTTCACATACTGGCTCTTTTCTATCCTTTAGGGCTTGGCTTAAATATCACCCACTCAAGTCTTTCCAACCCACAGTAATTTTAAAAATGTTCCTGCCATTACTTTCTATCTCAGATCCTTGCCTCAACACAATTTATAATTATTTCATCTGCTTTTTTGTTTTTGTGTGTGCCTCCATAGCGAGAATATAAGCTCCTTGATGACAGGGACAGTCTCTGTCCTGGTAGTTGGTGCAGGCTCAGTGCTAAGTAGAGTGGACAGCTGTGAACAGCTATCATTCTCTCTGTTGTTTTCCTGCCTAGAATCCCTTTCTCCTTCTTCTAAAAGTAGAACCCATTCTTTCTGTGGGGAACTCATTCCACACGGTTGAGGGGGTTAATCCTGCCCCCCACCCCACCACCAGGTCTGGGCAATTTGGCAACAGGGATTGGTTCAGAGATCAATATGTGAGTTCAGCAGAACCAGTCTCCCCTCCATGAGATTTGCTGGATGGCTGTATTAAAAGAGAGGATCCATTTTACTCTGGGATCATGAGCTATATGGATGTTGTAGGCCTAGCGTCGAGAGCAGTTCCTTGCAGAGGGAATCTGAGAATGAAGCCAAAGAGAAGTTAGCAGGACCAGGAGATGGAGAGACAGCCTTGTTATCTCTGAACTCCTGAATCTGCCCATCCCTTAGATTTCCAGTATATTGAGCCCCTCCCCAAATGCCTTTTTTTGGCACACACAAATCTAAGCTGAATTTCCATCATTTTAACTGCAAGAGTTCTGGCATATAGTTGGTGGTCAATAAATGTTGACTAAATCAATAAGTGAAAAGACAGATTCATTCTTAGTGTGCTAACTACACTTAAAGTTTCTGAGCCTGGGAAGCTGGCAGTGGTCATTATTCTAAGGTAATGAATGCCACTGATGAGGCCCTATTGGAAAACCGGCAGCCAATCAAGCAGCCTCTTCAACAACCTGTCTTGGCTGAGTGTCATTTCAATAGGAACGCCTTTGTCATATACTTCCCTTGCTAGCCAGAGAGCATCTCACGTCCCTGTTTTTATTTTTTTTTTAAGATTTTATTTCTTTATTTGACAGAGAGAGAGAGAGAGACAGTGAGAGCAAGAACACAAGCAGGGGGAGTGGGAGAAGGAGAGGCAGGCTTCCCACTGAGCCAGGAGCCCAATGTGGGGCTTGATCCCAGGACCCTGGGATCATGACGTGAGCAGAAGGCAGATGCTTAACGTCTGAGGCACCCAGGCGTCCCTCAAGTCCCTGCTTTAATCATCCTTAGCATCAAGCAGCCACTGTCATGTCGCCATTCAATAGCTCTTCACTGAGGGAAAAAAGTCCAGCCACAACAGTTATTACCAAAATGCAGAAGCTAAAATCAGAGTGTGACAAAAACAAGACTGAACAGAGTTATCATTCCCTATCCAAAAAGCTTTTGGCATTACCTTTGAAATAAGTATCCAGGAACTTATATATACCCACAACTACCTTAGAAAATCTAAAGAAGAGATAGAATCAGAGTTCGGGGCTGGAAGTAGTCTGCATTTGATTTAATCCTTTTCCAGAGTGAACACCAAGACACAATATGGTTAAGGGATTTGTCCAAAGGGCAGTACTTGGCAATCTTTAGGGCTGAGACTGAAATCCAGGGTTTCTGACAATCCTGAATCACTGGGCGATCCATCTTCCATAGGGCAGATAAAGGAAGGTCTGACTGACCTTAGAAACCCAAGTGGCTGTTGTGATGTGACACTATTCAACATTATTCTGCAACTCTGAAGGTGAGAAAGTCAGTAACCTTAAAGTATCACTCTAACATCTCATCTCTCAGAGGGCAATTAACATCTTGCACATAAATGCCTAAGTTTAAGTACATTTTATTTCAATCCAATACTAGATAGTGGAGGTTATGTGCTAATATTCAAAGGGGTAATCATCTTCACTAAATTTGTTTTTTATTTTGCCACAAATCCCAAATTTTAAAAGGAAGGATTTGCAGAACAAATCCTTTTATCAGGGGCGCCTGGGTACCTCAGTCAGTTAGGCATGGTCTGCTCAGGTCGTGATCCAGTAGTCCTGGGATCTATCCCGGTGTCGGGTTCCCTGCTCAGCAGGGAGTCTGCTTCTCTCTCTGCCCCTCCCCATCTCCATGCTCAATATCTTTCTCAAATAGATAAATAAATAAATATTAAAAAATAAAAAAGAAATAGGGGCACTGGATGGCTCAGTCAGTTAAGTGTCTGCCTTCGGCTCAGGTCATGATCCCAGAGTCCTGGGATCAAGCCCCACATTGGGATCCCTGCTCAGCAGAGAGCCTGCTTCTGACTCTCCTTCTGCCTGACACTCCCCCTGCTTATGCTCTCTCTCTCTATGCCAAATACATAAATAAAATCTTTTTTAAAAAGAATTAAATAGAAATAGAAGTTTTAATTTTACCTTCATTTATTTCTTTTCCAGTACTCTTCCTTTAATTAAGTAGATGTGAAATTCTGACCTCTACAATTTTCCTTCTCTCTGAATAACTTCTTTTAAACATTTCTTGCAAGGCAGGTCTATTGGCAACAAATTCCTTTGATTTTTTTTCTTTTCTTTTTTTTTTTAAGATTTTATTTATTTTTGACAGAGATCAAAATCAGGCAAAGAGGCAGGCAGGCAGAGAGAGAGAGAGGAGGAAGCAGGCTCCCCGCCGAGCAGAGAGCCCGATATGGGGCTCGATCCCAGGACTCCAGGATCATGACCCAAGCCGAAGGCAGAGGCCTTAACCCACTGAGCCACCCAGGTGCCCACCTTGATTTTTTTTTCGTTTGAGAATGTCTTCTTTACTTTTGAGGATAATTTCACAAAGTATAGAATTCTAGGTTGGTGGGTTTTCTCTCTCAACACATTAAATGTTTCACTCACTCTCTTCTTGCATAGTTTCTGAGAAGAAGTACAATGTAATTATCTTTATTTCTCTATAGGTGGTTTTTTTCTTATCTTTAATTTTCTGCAGTTTAAAAATGATACGTCTATGTGTAATTTGGGGGCATTTATCCTGACTGGTGTTCTGGACCTTCTGGGATCTGTGGTTTGATGCCTAGCATTAATTTGGGGAAATCTGCACACTCATTATAGTTTCAAATGTTTCTTCTATCTCTTTTTTTCTTTTTGATCCCCCTGGTATTCCCATTACATGCATCTTACATTTTTCATAGTTGTCCTACAGTCCCTAGGTATTCTGTTCTGAGTTGTTTTTTTGTTTTTTTTTTTCCCCCTGATGTTGCATATGGTTCTGATGTCTCTTCTGTGTGGTTGTTTTTTGTTTTGTTTTGTTTTTTATTAAGTATGCTCCACCTCTAGCACAGAGCCCAATGCAAGGTTTGAGTTCATAACCCTGAGATCAAGACCCAAGCTGAGATCAAGAGTCAGACAGTCAACCAACCATTCCACTGGCTTTATGTAAGTTTTATAATTTTTCCTTGATAGCCAAACATGATGTACTAAGTAAAAGAAACTGCTATAAACAGACCTTCAGTAATGTGGTGGTGAGGTGTGGGAGGGAGAAGTGTTCTGCTGTCCTGTGATTGGTCTTAGTCTTTTAGTGAGCCTGTGCCTCTGGACTGTGAACTTCACATGTCTGCCTTTGTTTTCTTCTTTGCTTATGTGGGACGAAATGCCTAGAATGGGCTGGAGTTGGGTATTTCTCTTCCCCCGGTTAGGGTTTGATAATACCTCAGGAAGTTAGGTTCTGGTTAACTAGTTTTCCGTGAAGACAGTCCTTGTTAAGAAAGAAAGAGTGCTTTGGAGTATTACTAAATGGTTCCTTTTTCCCTCTTCTGGAAGCACTAGGGGATTTTTCTCTGATATTTGCTGTGGGATCCTCATCAGGCCTGTGGAGCTAAGACTCACAAAATTGTAGGGACCCCACTATGCCTGGATCCCCTGGAGTTTTTACTCATAGTCATCCATCTGAATCTCCAGCAATTCGTCAATCACAGTTCTGGTTTTCCCACCCTGGCACTGGTTCCCACAGTTGGTTTCCACTCATGAAGCTTTGCTCCAGGAAATTGTTATTCTCTGTATTCTCGTATTGGTTTCTTCAGTCTCGGGGGCAGGAGTTTGCCTTGTGTCCTCATCTCTCTTATGGATCTTAGAAGAGTTGTTGATTTTTAGTCTGTTTAGCTTTTTACTTGTTAGAATGGAGGGGCAGCTTCTGAGCTTCTTACATACTGACTAGAAACTGAAGTCCTTTTGTTTGTTTTTAAAAGATATTTATTTATTTATTTATTTATTTATTTATTTATTTATTTGACAGAGACACAATGAGAGAGGGAACACAAGCAGGGGAAGTGGGAGAGGGAGAAGCAGGTTTCCCTCTGAGCAGAGTGCCTGATGTGGGACTCCACCCCAGGACACTGGGATCAAGACCGGAGCCAAAGACAGATGCTTAAACGCCTGAGCCACTCAGGCGCCCTTTGTTTGTTTGTTTATTTTTTAAAAGCAAGACAAGACACTAAATTTAAAAATTGGATTTATATCATGTTTGTACATGAACAGAGTTATCATAAAATATTTCTAGTGAAGAAAGCTTATCTATGTATAAGAGCAAAATTCAAGTGTTTAAAAATCAAATCCTCAGTGTTCCTGTTCTAGTATATATCAGGCTCTTAAAAGAGAAGCCTTTTCTAAATCTTTCTAAATGCTATTAATTTCTATTTCTATGTATGTCTGATAATGCTTACTTTTCTCATTGCCTTATCCTGATATTTCTTTCCTTACAGTATTAAGTTAATCTACTTAAGGAAAGACACCTGGATTTTTACTTGAAAAGAGGTAGGTAGTTTCTTAAAATATTTTACTATAAATCTCATGCCATCGAAAAACTACAAATGGTTTGAATGCTTCCTAATGTTCACTTTAATTTTGTTGCTGAAAATCCAAATCCCCCCAAATATATTATTTTACCAATATTTTTAAAGTTTAAAATCTAAACACAGAGAGGCTCTTAATCAATTAACATTATCTTTGTGTATATGTCATGCATTAAGAAAATAGGAAATGGCTTATTCTTTTATTTGACAGAGGAAACCTTCGGCTTCAAACCTGTCACTCAACAGTCCCTAGTGAGATTTAGACTGACAGCTGCACAGTGGGTCTGGGCGTGGTCACTGCATATCTGCAGCCAGGTGTGCAATCAAGTCTTTGGCATCTTGCATAACGGAGGGTATTTCTGAGCCGTTCTCAGTCACTTGGGTTCCAAACAAGAACATCTTCCTGTCATTTCCCACCTCAGACAATGCCAACGCTTCATGGATATCTGTAATACGATAGGCTGCTTCGAGATCCTTCAACCCAGAATAGAAAAAGCATAGGAAAGAGCTGGTTATTTTGCAATCCTTTTGGATAGATACATTTATTATTCTCACTTATTGCTCTCAATGATCTCACCTTCATTTTAATGTAAAAGATATTGTTACCCCATTATTATGATCCCAGTGGTAGTCTGAATATAAATATTTTAATCAGAGTTATACCAGCAGTGGGGCATCTATCTGGCTTAGTTGGTAGCGCATGCAACTCCTGATCTTGGGGTTTTGAGTGTGAGCCCCCTATTGGGGATAGAGATTACTTACCAAAAAAATGAGAGAGAGAAAAATAAAGGGCAGCAGAATTATATCAGCAGTTATGAGCTATCATCAAGAAAGAATTTTTGGAATGAAATTAAACCATTCTAATACCTTAATCAATTTCCAAACACTGTAGCCAATCTGCTTCTATTTTTCTCCATTTCTTTATTTATCCAAATGATATTCAATAGGATCAATTTTTTAATTGAAGTATAGTTGACACACATTTACACTAGTTTTCAGTGTACAACATAATAATTTGACAACCCTGTATGTTATTCTATGTTCACCATAATTGTAGCTACCATCTCTCACCATACAATGCTATTATGATACCACTGACTTTATTCAGCATATGCCATTATATATGCTGTACCTTTCATCTCAGTGACCTATTCATTCCATAACTGGAAGCCTGTACCTCCCATTCTCTTTCACTCTTTTTTTTTTTTTTAGGATTTTATTTATTTGTTTGACAGAGAGATCACAAGTAGGTAGAGAGACAGGCAGAGAGAGGGGGAGAACCAGGCTCCCTGCTGAGCAGAGAGCCCAACACGGGGCTCAATCCCAGGACCCCGAGATCACGACCTGAGCCAAGGGCAGAGGCCCAATCCACTGAGCCACCCAGGTGCTCCCCGCTTTCACTCCTTTTTGCCCATCCCCCTACAGCTTTTCCCCCTGGCACCCACCAATTTGTTCTCTATACTTATTGGTCTATTTCTCCTTCTTGTTTGTTTGTTCCTTTGTTGTCTAGATTCCACATATAAGTGAAAGCATATGGTATTTTTCTCATTTCACTTAGCATAATAATCTCTAGGTCCACCCCTGTTCTCACAAATGGCAAGATCTCATTCTTTTTTATGGTGAGTAATACTCCAATATGTGTATATATGCTACATCTTCTTTATCCATTTACCTGTTGATGGACACTTGAGTTACTTCCTTATCTTACCTACTGTAAATGATGCTCCAATAATCACAGAGAGGCAATACCTTTTCAAAATGGTACTTAAGGTTTTTTGGGTAAATACTCAGTAGTGGAATTATTAGATCATAATGGTATTTCTGTTTTTAATTTTGTGAGGACCCACCATCCTGTCTTCCACAGTGCCTGTACCAATTTACTTTCTTGTCAACAATGGACAAAAGTCCTTTTTTCACATCCTTACCAACACTTATTTCTTGTCTTTTTGATTCTAGCCATTCTGACAGGTATGAAGTGATATCTCATTGTGGTTTCAATTTACATTTTCCTGATGATTAATGGTGTTGGGCATCTTTCTCATGTGTCTGTTGGACATCTGTATATCTTCTTTGGAGAAATGTCTGTTCATTGTATCTCCTACCTATTTTTTAATTGGATTATTTGCTTTTTGAATGTTGAGTTGGGTACGTTCTCTACATATTTTGCATATTAAGTCCTTATCAGATACATCATTTGCAAATATTTATTCCCAGTCAGTATTTGCCTTTTTTATTATTTATTTTATTTTATTTTTTTAAAGATTTTATTTATTTATTTGACAGAGAGGGAGCGAGAGAGGGAGAGAGAGTGCACATGAGCAGGGGCAGAGGGAGAGGGAGAAGCAGGCTCCCCACTGAGCAAGGAGCCTGATGTGGGACTCAATCCCAGGACCCCAGGATTATATGACCTGAGCTGAAGGTAGCCGCTTTTAACTGACTGAACCACCCAGGTGTCCCAGTATTTGCCTTTTTAAAAAGATTTTGTTTATTTGAGAGAGAGAGATAGAGAGACCACGAGCAGGGGGAAGCAGCAGAGGAGAAGGAGAAGTAGGCTCCCTGCTGAGCAGGAAGCCAACTTGGGGCTCCATCCGAAAACTGGACCGAGGATCACAGCCTGAGCCAAAGGCAGCCACTTAACTGCTTAACCCACTGAGCCACTTTTTGTTTTGTTGATGGATTACTTTGGTGTGCAGAAACTTTTTATTTTAATGTAGTCCCAACAGTTTATTTTTGCTTTTATCTCCCTTGCCTCAGGAGACATATCTAGAAAAATGTTTCTGGTGGCATCTGGCTGCAGTTGATACATTTCTAGATATTCATCATCCCAATATATTGCCTGTCTGAGATCAGAATTCACTTATTCTTAGAGCCTGTAGTGACATTTGAACAGTGTTAATAGATCCAGTAAACCTGTGTGCAATGTCTCAAGGTAATAAATTAATGATGGAATTGGAGAGGAAGAAAATATGAAGAAAATGTTGGATTACAAAGAGGGTTCTTTGTAGTCATAAAAGCACATTATGGATAGGGTGCCTGGGTAGCTCAGTCAGTAGAGCATGGAGCTCTTCATCACAAGGTCATAAGTTGGAGCCCCACATTGGATATAGAGTTTACAAGAAGGAGGAGGAGGAGGAGGAGGAGGAGGAAGAGGAAGGGGTGCCTGTATGGCTCAGTCAGTTAAGCATCAGCCTTTGGCTCAGGTCATGATCCTGGAGTCCCAGGGAGCCAGCCCCACACCTGGCTCCCCGCTCAGCAGGAGTCTGTTTCTCCCTCTGCCCCTCCCCCCAACTCATTGCATGCACTCTTTCTCTCTCTTTCACTCACTTACCATGCATTCTTTTCTGATCACAATGCCATGACACTAGTTATCAACCACAAGAAAAAGTCTGGAAAGAGCACAAATAGATGGAGGCTGAATAACATGCCTCTAAACAATGAGTGGGTCAACCAAGAAATCAAAAATTACATGAAGAAAGATGAACATGGAAATACAAGGTACAAAATCTTTGGGACATAGCAAAGGCAGTTCTAAGAGGGAAGTTTATAGCAATACAGGCCTTCCTCAAAAAGCAAGAAAAATCTCAGATAAACAACGTACCCATACACATTCAGGTGCTACAAAAAGAAGAACAAACAAAACCACAAACTAGCAGAAGGAAGGAAATAATAAAGATTGGAGCAGAAGTAAATGACATGGATACTAAAAATATAAATAAATAAATTCCTAGAAACATATAACCTGACAAAACTGAATTAGGAAGAAATAAAAATTTGAACAGACCAATTACCAGCAATGAAGTTGAATCAGCAAAAAATTCCCAACAAACATAAGTCCACACCACATGGCTTTACAAACGAATTCTACCAAATATTTAAAAAAGAGTTAATACCTATTCTTCTCAAAATACTTCAAAAAAGAGGAAGGAAATCTTTCAGATTCATTCTATAAGGCCAGCATTACACTGATACCAAAACCAGAGAAAGACACCACAAAAAAGAGCACTACAAGCCAATACCTCTGATGAACATAGATGCAAAAATTCTCAACAAAATATTAGCAAACCAAATCCAACAATACATTAAAAAAAATATTCACCATGATCAAGTGGGATTTATTCCTGGAATGCTAGAGTGGTTCAATAATTGCAAATCAAGCAACATGATACATCACATCGATAAAAGAAAGGATAAAAACCATATTTCAACAGTTGCAGAAAAATATTTGACAAGGTAATTAATCCTTTCATGATAAAAACCCTCCACAAAGTAGGTTTAGAGAGAACATACTTCAGCATAATAAAGGCCATATATGAAAAACCCACAGCTAACATCATACTTAATGGGGAAAAACTGAGAGTTCTCCCCTAAGGTAAGGAACAACACAAGGATGTCCACTGTCACCACTTTTATTCAACATAATACTGGAAGTCCTAGCCACAGCAATCAGCCAAGAAAAAGAAATAAAGGCATCCAAATCAGTAAGCAAGAAGTCAAACTTTCAGTATTTGCAGATGACATGACACTATAGAAAACCCTGAAGACTCCACCAAAAAAACTATTAGAACTGATAAATGAATTCAGCAAAGTTGCAAGATACAAAATCAATGTACAGAAATCTTTGCATTTCTATACATTAATAATGAAGGAGCAGAAAGAGAAATTAAGGGAAAAAAGTCTCATTTATAAGTGCACCAAAAATAATAAAATACCCAAGAATAAACCTAACCGAGGAGACAAAAGACCTGTATTCTGAAAAGTATAAAACTTTGTTGAAAGAAACTGAAGACAATACAAAGAAATGGAAAGACATCACATGCTCATGGAGTAGAAGAACAAATATTGTTAAAATATCTATACAACCCAAAGCAGTATACAGATTTAATGCGATAGCTACCAAATACCAACAGCATTTTCCACAGAACTAGAACAATTATAGAATTTGTATTGAACCACAAGACCCCCAAAAGCCAAAGCAATCTTGAAAAAGAAAAACAAAACTGGAGGTAGCACAATTCTAGACTTGAAGTTATACTACAAAGCTGTGTTAATCAAAACAGTATGGTACTGGCACAAAAACAGACACAGATCAACAGAATAGAGTACAAAGCCCAGAAATTAACTCAAAATTACATGGTCAATTAATCTAGGATAAAGGAGGCAAGAATATGCAATGGGAAAAACAAATAGTGTTGGGAAAACTAGAGAGCAACATGCAAAAGAATGAAACTAGACCATTTTCTTATACAATACACAAAAGCCAACTAAAAATGGATTAAGGACCTAAATGTGAGACCTGAAACCATAAAAATCCTAGAAGATAGCACAGGCAGCAATTACTCTGAAACTGGCCATAACAACATCTTTCTAGATACTTCTGCCAAGGTAAGGCAAACAAAAACAAAAATAAACTATTGGAACTACACAAAAATAAAAAGCTTCTCCACAGCAAAAACAAAACACAACAAAATTAAAAGATAACCTACTGAATGGAAGAAGATATTCACAAATGACCTATCCCATAAAGAATTAGTATCCAAAATATATAAAGAACTTACACAACTCAAAACACACAAAAAAACGAATAATCCAATTTAAAAAAATGGACAGAAGACATTAACAGATGTTTTCTAAAGAAGACATACAAATGGCCAACAGACACATGAAAAGATGCTCTCAACACATTACTCATCATCGGGGAAATGCAAATCAAAACCACAATGAGTTATCACCTCACACCTTTCAGAATGGCTAAAATCAAAACCACAAGAAATAACAAGTATTGGCAAGAATGGGAAAAAAAGAAAGCCTCATGCACTGTTGGTGGGAATGTAAACTGGTGCAGCCATTGTGGAAAATAGTATGGAGTTCCTCAAAAGAGTAAAAATAGGGGCGCCTGGGTGGTTCAGTGGGTTAAAACCTCTGCCTTTGGCTGGGGTCATGATCCCAGGGCCTTGGGATGGAGCCCCGTATCAGGCTCTTTGCTCAGCAGGGAGCCTGCTTCCTCCTCTCTCTCTGCCTGCCTCTCTGCCTACTTGTGATCTTGTCAAATAAATAAATAAATAACCTTAAAAAAAAAAAGGAGTAAAAATAGAACTATCCTGGGAGACTGGCTGGCTCAGTCAGTAGAGCAAATGACCCTTGAGCTCAAAGTCATGAGTTTGAGCCCCACACTGGGTATAGAGTTTACTTTAAATAAAAAAATAGAACTACCCTATAATCGAGTAATCACACTACTGGGTATTTCCCCAAAGAATAAGGAAACACTAATTCAAAGGGATATATGCACCCCTATGTATACTGAAGCATAATTTACAACTGTCAAACTATGGAAGCAATCCAAGTATCTATCAATAGATGGTTAAACAAGATGTAAAACACACACACACACACACACACACACACACACACACACACACACACAGGAATATCACTCAGCCATTAAAAAGAAGGAAATCTTGCCATTTGCAACAACGTGGATGGATCTACAGAGTACAATGCTAAGTGAAATAAGCCAGTGAGAGAAAGAAAAATACCATATGATTTGCTCCATGTGAAATTTAAGAAACAAGAGAAACAAAGGAAAGAAAAAGAGACACCCCCCAAAAACATGCTCTTAACTATAGAGAACAGTTTCCAGACAGGAGGTGAGTGGGGGGCTGGGTGAGATAGGTGAAGACAATTAAGAGTATACCTACCTTGATGCACACTGAATAATATTTGAAACTACTGAATTACCGCATTATACACCTGAAAGTAATATATATTGCTGTATGTTCACTGGAATGAAAATAAACTTTTAAAAATGTCATTTAAAAAAATAAATGGAAAGCTATGTATAAAGAAGATAACCATAAGCAAAGTAAAATAATAGTCAACAAGTTGCTGAAGAAGATACACAGAACGCCTATAAGTAATAAAGGATTATTTTTCTGAAAGATAGGAAAGATTTCTACAACTCAAATAAGAAAAGATAAACAACCTAATAGAAATTTGGGAAGAGATATTAAAAGAAAATTCACAGGGGCGCCTGGGTGGCTCAGTCAGTAGAGTGACCGACTCTTCACATCCACTCAGGTCATGATCTTGGGGTTGTGGGATCAAGCCCCATGTTGGGTTCAGCACCGGGCATGGAGCTTGCTTGAGATTCTTTTTCTGCCTCTCCTTTAGCCCCTCCCTTCTCTCTCACTTGCTCTGTCTCTAAAAATAAATAAAAAAAAAGACAATCCACAGATGTGGAAATGAGTTTCAAAGAATGAAATGAATCTGAAACTAATAACCAACGCACATCTGAAAAGATGTTGAAGCTGAACCAGTAATTAGGGAAATGCAAATTAGAATAACGGGATAAAATTTCAGCCCCATCAGACTGGCAAAAATGAAAAAGGTTGACAATACCAAGTACTGAAATGGAGTTGCAAAAATCGGTCATATTCTGCTAGCTGGAGAGTAAATTGGTGCAATATCTTTGGAAAGCAGCTCGGTAAGATCTAGTAAAGCTGATGATGTGCAAATCTGAAAACCCAGCAATTTCTCTTCTAGATATATGCACTAGAGAAATGTTGATACACATCTACAAGGAGACACATACATGAAGATTCACTGTAGCACTGTTTATAATAATAAACCATTAGAAATAACCCAAACACCCAGAATGAAAATGGTAAAATTGTGGTATATTCATGCAATGGAATACTATAGCGCTCACTTGCATGTACCATGGTCTTTGTAGTTAATGGTATGTAAGATGCTCCCGTTTAAAACAAAACAAAACAAAAGCTCCAGCTCCTCTTTTAAATATAATCTGCAGGACTAGCTTCTGTGCTGGACTGGAACATAGATTCCTTTAGGTGGTCGTTTGTAATTACTTAGTTTACTGCCATTAAGCATTCACCCTCAGAAGTAGTGGGACAATTAAGTTCCCTAATGACTGGCTATCTTAAAGCAATTGAAGGAGGGGCTTTACTATTACAATGCTGTAGATGTTTAGTATTTTTTACTTTTTTTATTGTGGTAAAATACACATAACAAAATTTATCATCTTAACCATGCATGAGAGCACAGTTCAGTACATTCACGCTGCTGTACAACTAACTGTCCACCTCCAGAAGTCTTTTCATCTTGCAAAACTGAACCTCTGTACCCACAAAGCAGTAACTCCCATTTCTCCCTCCCCAAACCCAAGGCAACCATCGCTAGTATAAACCCTGTACCCATTAAACAATGACTCCTCCTTCTCCTCTCCTCTCCTCCCATTCCCTTGTAACCTCCAATTTACTTTCTGTCTCTATGAACTTGACTACTCCAGGTACCTCATGAAAGTGGGATCATATAATATTTGTTGTTTTCTTGCTGGGTTATTTCCCTTAGCATAAGGTCCTCAAGGTTTATCTGTACCACAGCATGTGTCAGAATTTCCTTTTCTAAGGCTGAATTGTCTGTATGTATCATGTTTTATTTATCCATTCACCTATGGAGGGACACTTGGGTTGCTTCTACCTTTTGACTATTGTGAATAATTCTGTTGTGAATATGGATGGATGAGTATCTGTTCACGTTCCTGCTTTCAATTCTTTTGAGTATACACCCAGACGTGGAATTGCTGGATATGCAAATTCTATTTTTAATTTTTGGAAGGAACTGCCATACTGTTTTCTAAAGTGGCTGCACCATTTTACATTCCCAACAACACTGCACAGGGTTCCAATTTCTCCAGGGTTGTTTGTTTTATATTTTTTAAGTGTGTGTAATAAATTCAGGTCAGGCTAATTGATCTAAAGCAAACTATTCCTTTATGTATGGTAGACGCTCAAATATGTTGTTGAAATCAATTCAACCACCAGTAAATATTTACTGAATTAAATTCAACGCATATTTGTTGCATTTCTACTATGCTTGTCCAGTATAAGGGACACAAAGATGAATAATGGTTTTTATTTTCAAGGAGTTTATAATCCAATAGATCTTATATGTCTAAATTAAACTGCATATACAGCATATTGTTAAATATCTAGCTATTAAAAGTAGACATTTCTATTTCTTTAAGTAATAATAAAACTATTAAGTGAAACTTAGAGTTGCCCAGATTTTTACCTGTTTGTTTGCAAATACAACCAGAGGAAGGATTGGGTTTGTTTCAATTAATTGATGAAGGTGTTTCTTGGCTTCAGGTAATCTGTTGTGATCAGCTGAATCCACCACAAAGATCAGCAGCAATCCTCTGGATAGATACATTTCCCAATAGGAACGGAAAGGTTCACTGCCACCAACTACAGAGAACAGCAGAGAAAAAATACACCAAAAACATAGCAGAAGCAGCTGCTGAGAAGGCAGGGAAGACACTCTTAGTTAATTTCCAAACACTGGACAGGTGTTCTGATAAAACGCCACTGTGTCAGAGTGTATCTAATTCTGAGAATGACCAGAGGCATGTTACTAGGGAAATGGCTGGTGGGAATATTTACCCTCCATAAGTGGTTCAATCATTCTGGGACACAAAGACTCAGCATAAAGACTAGATACTACCTTGAATACAGTGGATGCCCCCTGACCTGTAACACAGAGCAGCCATGGGGGGCACCACCTAACAGTTGGGCTCAGAAAATGGGAGTACGTCACTAAAATAATTCAGGGGGGTAGGTTAAAACACACCTTTCTCCAAAATAAGTTTTAAATAGACGAATTCCCTGGCCAGACTCACTTGCACAGTCTTTTCCTTTTATCAAAATCCCAGAACTAATTTCTCCTCTTAACACTGAACTAAGATTTAATAGGATCCTGTGGGCATTAAAGAAAGAAAATGCCTTTGGATTATTTCATTCCACTGATTCTTCCCAGAAGAAAGTTTCTGGCAATGATAATAATATATACACAATGAATTTAGTTTTGATTTTCTCCTAGAACAGAGGCTGGCAAACTATGGCCCACAGTCTAAATCTGGCCCCACTGCCTATTTTTGGAAGCACAGGAACAAAGAATGGATTTTACATCTTTAAATGCTGCGGGGGGAGAGAAAGAATAACATTTCATGACATGTAAAAATATCATATTTGGATTTCAGTGTCTACAAATAAAAGTTTATCAGAACACAAACGTGGACTTGCCACGTATTGTCTGTATTGTCTGTGGCTGCTTCCATGGTACCACAGAGTTTAGTGGCTGCCTAGAGACCATGTGGCCCCCAAAGCCTAAATTATTTACTCCCTAGCCCTTTACAGAAAAAGTTTGAAGACCCTTGTTTTAGAAACTTAACAAAAACATTTAAAATACTTCTGGGAAAGGGTCTTGATTTGTCTGTTCTTTGTTTGAATTAGCTAGGCTAATTCCCTAAATAAAGCATTTTGTGTTACTAACTTTTTAAAAGAATGTTGTGTAATCTTCTAAGTAATTCATATGGTTTCAACATATTTAGTTTAAGCATGAATGAACATTTGGGTTGTTCCTCATTTTTGTGTGTCTGTGTGTGATACCATCACATTTCACCTATATTGGGATTTTCATCTTTTTGTTATTAACTTCTAACTTAATTGCAATGTATTCAAAGAACATGGTTTGGATGATGCCCCTTCTCTGAAAAATTTATTAACACCTGTTGTATGGTCCACCAGGTGGTCAGTTTTGATAAATGTTACATGAATCTTTGAGAGGAACATGTATTTTAGCTTTGGGATGTAGCTAAAATTGTCTAATTGAACAATCTTATATTGTCCATTGGATGAAACTTGTTGGTTGTGTCTATATTCTCTGTATCCTTGCTGATTTTTTTCCTCTTTGATTTTAATAATTTGACAATACGTTGAAAATCCCTCACTCCAATGGTAGATATGTCCATTTCTTCCCCTAATCAGATTCTCCCTTTCTTTTTCATTCCTTTGTTCCTTCCTTCCTTATTTTGAGACTATTTTTCTAGCTATCTATTTGGTTAAAATTATTATCTCTTCTATAGCTTCTGAACAAATTAAAACCTGTATTCCAGATAATGTTGTTAGCTGAAAGATTTGCCTACACGTTGACCAGTTTCTCTGCCCATATTTACTTTCTGTAACTGGATGAATGGAAAAATAAAAAGGTGATTACAGTAATCTAAGGGAGAGATGGTGTAGGTTCCAGCTGACATAAGTGCAGTAGGAAAAGATGTAACTGATGAATTCCAGCTTTGTTTAGAGGTAGAAAAACTCCTAGTGTTTTATTTGTGGACTAGAGTTGGGGGTACAAAAGGAGACATCAAGGGTGACTCCTATTTTTCTGGCTTGTAACACGATAGATAAGGAACCATTTACGGACCAGTAGATTATAGGGAAAGGAACAGATACGGAGATAAAGCAAGCACTTTGTCTCGACCATTTTAGGTTTGAGAGGCCAATTAGATATCCAGGTGAAGAGGTCAGGTGACCTTTGGATATGCTCGGGTTGGATAGATAAATCTGGGTGTCATTAACACAGAGATGGTATTTAAGGCCAATAGGATGGATGAAATCATCCAAGGAGAGAATGTAAAGAACCGAATATAATGGAACTTTGGGGAACGACACTATTTAGAGAGGGGATGACCCCAGAATTACTGTAGCATAGAGACTTCTGGGCTGCCCTCTGGTTACAAAAAGAGATTTGGGGCTTGTTTATAGTTGCATTTGCAGAGAAGGAAGTATGTGTATTTGCTGTATTTACTTGGATTGAATGTTTCTTGGGGTAGTGAGGGAATTGACAGCGTATTATAGGAGGGGGTGCTATAGCCTTCCTTGCAGCTCCCTCTCATGCCAGCACTGAAAAAAGGAGGAAGTAAGAAAAGGAAGTGATTTCCTCCACACTGAACTATTAAACTACATATGCATTCTAAAACCGTAGGCAAACCTGACCCAGTGTGACTTTTCATAAGGGTACAATGATGCTATCAATAGGTCTGGCTTAAGGTGTAAGAAGATACGCCTATCCTGTTAGTCATGAGAAAGCAGGCTTACTCTCCAGAAACTCCATCTGGCTATCCTCGGTGTTGATGCATACTGCATTGAAACCTTGGGTGGGTGCCACGCTGTGCTGGACTCTGTTTAAAGCAAGAGAGTGCAGAACACTGGTCTTTCCTGCTCCGTCGAGGCCCAACACAAGGATCTGCTTATTTTTCTCCTGTGAAAACAAAAGACCAATCAATAAACTCATGCAACCAGGGGTTTGTTTCCCTGGCTCCTGGCAGTGCATCTGCCTGTGGTAGGACCCAATAATAATTGTGGAATTGTAAACCAGAACAAAAATTCATGAAACATTTAATATGTCTAGGAGCACCTGGCTGTCTCAGTCGGTAGAGCATGGGACTCTTGGTCTTGGGGTCGTGATTTCAAGCCCCATGTTGGGTGCAGAGTTTACTTAAAAAAAACAAAAATTAATAGAACTAGGACAAACTGTACCAGTCTGTATTTTATAATCAGCAATTAGTTATGTGGTATTAATCACACCCCCCAACTAGAATGGTGGTGATCAATCTATTAAATATAGACTATATATAACAGGATTTATAGGTGGTGCCATAGATCACAGGATGTGATCTTCACTTTGCTGCTTGAGTTCATGTCCACTGCGGATTGTAACAGAATTCAGTTTGTTGTTTGGGATCTTGGGACATCTGTGGTTCATGCACACACTATGCCATTCAGCGTGTAAGCACCCGGTCTCATAGTATTGATCTGTTTTCTTTTCCCAATTGGATCACTAACTAGATAAAAGACTAGGGGAAGTTTCCCCTCTTATACTTTTTAATAGAAGTATCATGATTAAATGAAAAGGCTAAGGTTATAGAAACTGTTAGGTTCCAATCACAAATGAACATTTATTTTAGAATCAGATGTTAAAACCTGTTGAACTTGACATAAACTTTAGAAAGAAGCATTCCACCAACATACCAGACTTAGAAATTTTTATAACAAGTGATTGAGAGACAAGAAGGGCAGGTTGGTATGAAAAGTTCAGAGTGCTCAGAAAAGTGACTTTTAGGGTGCAAAATTTAATGTGAACAGTAATAAAGGACTAACAATACAAATTGCCCACAGGAATTCAATTCTATTTCCCAAACTGCCTACTGAAGAAGTTTCTCATGCACAAAAACACCAGTAATTGTCTTCAATGACATTGGTTTGGAAGTAACAATAATATTTTACATTTATACTTGAACACTAAATATTGATGTTAGATTTAGACTGGTTTTCTAGTAAAAAGTGAATTTTTTTTACTATCTCACTTTTTCTTTTTTTGAAAATAAGATCTATGTGAAAGTGAGATGTTTGAAGATCTGGTCTAGTAGGGTCTTGTATAGACAGCATAATTTATGAAAACTGTCTTGTGAATAGAAGAATTAGAAAAAGTACATGTTTGTTTTGGAATTTTTTTTTAAGGATTTTATCTATATATTTGACAGAGAAAAATCACAAGTAGACAGAGAGGCAGGCGGGGGCGGGGGGGGGGGGAAGCAGGCTCCCCAGCGAGTAGAGAGCCTGACGCGGGGCTCTATCTCAGGACCCTGAGATCATGACCTGAGCCAAAGGCAGAGGCTTTAATCCACTGAGCCACACAGGTGCCCTCTTTTTGGAATTCTTGATGGCTCTTAAAGCAAATGGTATTTCCATAGTTATTTTCTATCTTCATCCCCATTCCCTCCCATCTGCATCTAAACATGAGAGCATCATTCTGGAAGTGTGGTGAGGAAGAAGAACTTCATGGATAGAGAATATCTCATAGGATGATTTAAATTGCATGCTCTAAAGCAGATTTGGGCCCAAGAAATTGCTGTAGGGTGTGAATTGTGTCCCCCTTACTGTCTCCACCAACAGCCCAGTCAAGACTACCCCAACATACTTTATCAATTCCAACAAGCAATCCTCCCTCCATTTTAACATCTCCAAAACGAGGGTTTTACAATTCATGGTGTGTCTTTTTTTTTTTTTTTTTGGAGAGAGAGAGAGAGAGCGGGGTTGGGGGAAGGGGCAAAGGGAAAGGGAGAATCTTAAGACTCCTAGCTGAGCACACAGCCCCACGGGGGGCTTGATCTCAAGACACTGAGATCATGACCTGAGCTGACATCAAGAGTTGGATTCTTAATCAACTAAGCCACCCAAGTGTCTGGGTATGCCATATTTTGATTGGCAGCATTTTTTTTTCTTTCTCAGCGGTGCCAAAATAATGGTATCTGAGATCCTAGGAAATATTGTGAGTAAAAACGGTTCCCTACTCTCCTTCCAACCACATGGCTGTCCCTACTCTATCCTGTCTAGAAATTCTGCAGTCACTGCTTACATTTTACTTTATTTTTTTTTTAGCAAAACACATGCTAAAATACATGCTTTCTTATGTTGATCATCTCTTAAGGAAAGCTAGGATTATTGTTAAACCAAAAGTTCTGACACAATTTGTGATTTTGAGCACCACTGTTCCCTGTCAATAGTCATTATTTTAACCATATATGGGTCTATAATAGTTTGTTTTACCAGAGATCAAATCGCCGTTAATAATTCAAATTGTTTAGAACCAGAAAGCACCTGTGAGCTCAGAAACTCCAGGAGCAAGAAGCTTATTAAGCTGATCCAAACAATGCCAGTTTTTTCTTTCTTTTTATCCTACACCCCCTCAATTTTTTCACTGTGGTAAAATACACATAAATATAATAGAAATAAAATATAATATAAAACATACCGTCTTACCCACTATTAAGGATACGATTCGGTAGTATTAAAATACGTTCAGAATGCTGAGACTGTAGTCATTGCCATTCTCCCTCCCCTCAGAGCCTCAGGCAACCACCAATTCTACTCTATGACTTTGACTCCCCTAGGTACCTCATATAAGTAGTCATAGTATTTCTTTTTTCTTTTCTTTTCTTTTTTTTAAGATTTTATTTATTTGACAGACAGAGATCACAAGCAGGCAGAGCGGCAGGAGGGGGGAAGCAGGCTCCCCGCTAAGTAGAGAGCCCGATGTGGGCCTCGATCCCAGGACCCTGGGACCATGACCCCCGCCGAAGGCAGAGGCCTCAAACCACTGAGCCACCCAGGCGCCCCCATAGCATTTCTTTTTGCGATTGCAGTGCCTGGTTTCTGAGACCTCTCCGTTAAAACTTTGCGACCACCCTCGTGGGCGCTGGTGGTGGGAAAACAATGGAAGCAGTAACCACGGAGAAAGTCCAGCCCTCGGACGCACCTGCACGAATTCAGGAACCCCGCACCACGGAGAGCAGCTGGACAGAGTCCGCGGGCCGCGAGGGCTCGGGGCTGGTGTCGGTGAGGGAGGCGGGATGCCCGCAGGTGCCGCTTCCGCCCGGTGCGGACCAACCGCGACCTCCTCTTCCTCACCGCGGCACCACCCGCGGGAGGTGGGCGGGGGGACGCAGGGGCAGGGTTAGGGCTGAGGGTAAGGCAGGTGACAGGGAGAAGGGGCCAGCGACGGGTCTTGGGAAGCTTGGCACATCCCCTTCCATCCACAGAGTAAAATGCCCTCAAACCCAGACCCGATTCCCTCCCGCGCGGGTCGGGGCCTCGGACGTAACAGAGCCGGCGGCGCTCGGGCCTGACCGTCCACAATGGCCTTGGAGAGCCGGGCGAGGCCCCGGTCCCTTACCGGCGGCTCTAGCGGGGGCTTTGTCAAGGCGCTGTTGTCCTTCTTCTCTTTCTCTTCTTTTCCCTTGAGTTGTTCCTTCTCTTTCTCGGTCTCCCGCTCTTTCTTTTCCTCCTCTTTACAGTTACTATTATCCTCCTTTCCTTTCTCTTTTCCTTTAATTTTCTCCTTAACCACCTCCGTCTTTTTCTCTTCCTTTCCTTTTTCCCGAATTTTCTCTTTCTCTGGCTCCTTCCCCTTCTTCATCACCTTCCCCTTATCATTCACCTTCCCCTTCTCTATCACCTTCCCCTTCTCCATCGCCTTCCCCTTCTCCATCGCCTTCCCCTTCTCCATCCCTACCGCCCTAATTTCCTCTATCCGCGCGCCCGCGCGCTGGAGCCTGGGCCCTGGGTCCCGACAGGTGTGGCCCCCGTGGCGGACTCAAGGTGGAGACGTAGGTCCACGCGGACAACACCCGCGGTCACTCCGCGGCCGAGGCCAGTACCCCGGCGCGCTGGCTGCTGCCGCGCACCTGACGCCCGCTAGCGGGAGTCTGCGGCGCCGCGGATTCGCCGAACCCGGGGCGGGGGAGAGGATAGAGGGGAGAGCCAGAGGGAGCATTGAACATAGGGAGGAGGGGAGGCCCAGCTGCGAGAGTTGGGAGAGGCCCGTGGGAATAATCTTCAGGGTAGGAAAATCGCCCTAGGCGACCCCGGAGGTCGCACAATGCCCCCGATTCCCTCGTACTGAGCGCAGTGTCTCAGAAAGGCCTTCCAAGTCGGCCCAGTTCCTGGCGTGTCACCTCCCCCACATCATCCTAGAGCCGCCCGGCCCACGTGTCTCCCATCGGAAGAACGCTTTGGAAGCCAGCGCCCAGAGTGTCCCAAGGTTTCCCCGCCAGTTATCACAAGTCTGAAAGTGAAGTCGGTTATCTTCCCGCCCTCCGACCCGTGTTAATTCCACAAGGAAGGTCTAGAGGCCGATATCCAGGATGCTTAAGAGAAACATGCACAGTTCCTTTATTTTAAATTCCGGCTACACGTCGCTTAAATAAAATTACCTGGAGATTAAATTAGTAGTCCGCCAGGAAACAGATACTAATGATGATGGGTAATAAAACTACAACTAAACAAAATGGTCATCCCCAGTGATCCCGTATGTGGCAAATTAGGTAACCACGGGACTTTTCAAAGGTGGTGTTAACATTTCTTAAATTGTTTGAGGGGCGCCTGGGTGGCTCAGTGGGTTAAAGCCTCTGCCTTCAGCTCAGGTCATGATCCCAGGTCCTGAGATCGAGCCTTGCAATCGGGCTCTCTGCTCGACGGGGAGCCTGCTTCCCCCTCTCTCTCTGCCTGCCTCTCTGCCTACTTGTGATCTCTGTCAAATAAATAAAATCTTAAAAAAAAAAAACAAACCTGGTTGAAAAGTATACGGATTTTTTTTTTGTTTGTTTGTTAAACTGCTCTCAATATATTTCACAATCTAAATTATCTTAACGCAATGAACTGGCTTTCTTTCATCAGGATCTACTGTTCAGATAGGCTTGTAAACAACAGTGAATGACAGGCTGGTTCCAGGTTTGAGTGAGTAATATGTTTTTAAGGTGAGCAGTTTACAAGCAGCCTTGAAAATGCTGTGCTTAGTAACTTTAAAAATGTTTACTCCTCAGCTTGTTTATAAACACATATGAAACCAAAGTTGTCACTGAAGTTACAACTGGGTTCTCTCAGTTCCAGCAGATTAGTTTTGAAGCTTTGTGGGAAGGGCAAGAAAGAATTCTAGATAGTCAGCTTAAAAAATTCTTAGGTATACCAACCAGGAAGTCCTTTATAAAATGCCAAAACCCAAAACACCTTAATCTATACACACTGAGGGAATACTTTATTTTAAAATGTACCACAGTGAATCGATGTATCCATACTGGTTTTTATAAATGTACACACACACACACTCACACAAAGTATATGTCCTTGATTAAAGACCTGTCCAAAAGAAATAATTACTAGAAAATTAATGTAAATGTTTATACTTCATTTGACAATTATGACTTATTTAAATTGAGGTTTCAGTTGCTCAGTAATGACTGGTAATAACAATGGCTAGTAATTCCAATGACTAAATAGAGAAATACAAATTTCACTGTTGGTGCCTTACTTGGGTCAAAATTTTAACAATGGATAACTTTCACCAAAATTCTGGCTCAATCAACCTAAAAATGATTATCCTTCACCACAGAAATTTAATGGAATCCTAAATAACAGCTTACAAACAATTACCCCTGTAATGGGGTATACATTCAGAAGGAATAAGTCATCACTCTTACCAAAATATTCTTTAAGCTCAAAAAGTATTATGTCATAATAAGTCATTCATATGTAAGAGGGTCTCTTGTTTAGATGTTACTGCAGATTCTGATTAGGCAGCACCACATTTCTTACTCTTGTAAAGGAGGAAAGCCTTTTAAAAAACACCTTTGAAGAAGTTTCAATAGATATGTTCAGAGTCAAACACAGCAGCACTTTATTAACAAGGATGAAGTAATATCACAAGGAAATACTCAAAGTCTAAATTCAATGCTATCTTGGGCAGCACAAAATGAATACTAACAAGGGTGGCATCCCAGTGTGCCTGTCTCACAGCTGTTCAGTGGGAAAGTGGCTTGTAAGCAAGGAAGACCAGAGCAACACTGACACCACACAGACTGTACAATACTTCATTACTTTGAGAAGGGTAATGAATAGTTGTACCCCAAATGACAAAGGCAAATCATTTTAGTATCTATTAACTGGGCCAAAAAGTTCTGTTAAGTTGCCCATTACGGAACTCTGGAGGATTTCCTCTCTACCTAGAAGTCACTGTTCATGCTCCTGACAGGGCCATTAAATCTCTCTGAGACACTCCAACCCATCTAACCTCAGAACGCTGGGTCTTAGGGGGTCAACTTCCTGCAACGCTGATACATTTTCCTTGAGTTCTTTAATGGGGCTAATGTCAGCATAATGTCATCATAATCTGAAAACAATACGGGGTGCAAAGGAGTCCTAATTTATATACGTGTGTGTATATGTACATACACACACATTTCATTACTATGTATTTAGTATGTATATATTGTTTCCCATACTCCAGGATCACATAACAGAGAATTTATGGTTAAAACTGATCATGACATTTACTTCAGTTTTTCGGTTGTCATTCATGTAATGAAGTGAAGAACACCAGTGTATTAGTAAGGTCCCTTTTTATCACATGATATTTCTAAGCAGATACTTGGAATGCTCAGAAGATTCCACTTTCAGTCTCCTAAGGCCTCCTAAGACATAATTTAAAGTGGGATTTGATAGGAAAAAGTATCTTCAGGCTCCAGTTGAAACAGAAGTAGCTTCTGTTTAAATCCTAGGAAACTCTGGATAACATGCCTTGTTTGTGAAACTGAAAAAACACCAGATCACAGCGCACAAAGAGAAAAAATGCAACAGAGATCAAGGTAGGAAAATGCCCAATTACTTTGAGTCCTTATCATCTGTGCAAAGCTAGGTAGTACAAGTAGGCCACATCTGACTAGGCAGAGTTTGAGCAAGATATTTTCCTGTGTGATACACAAGAAAATCATTTCATGAAAATGTGGGGATGGGAGAGGGAGTAGCTCTGTGCTTCTTGCTGTGTTACCTTTATTATGTTCCTAGTGTCAGTGAGACTAAAAATAGCCTGCAAAGAATGTTCTCATCACCAGCCACCTTTTCCACCTTTCTTCTTTTTCTGTTGCTGTTTCTTTTTTGTTGCCGGAGCCCCTGCAGGTTTCTGGTGTCTTGGGGGTATGATATTACTTGTAGATGCTGATGCTGTTGCTGCGCTGCCAGGTCTTGGGGAGGTTGGTGGGCTGCTCACAGTTTTACTGGCGTCCCTGAAATCATCAGATCAGGAGAGTGCTGGTCATTCATATATTCAACAAAGGAAAGGACTATAAAAACATATGTATGGGATTTCACTTTCTACTCCTAACAACCTCCCACACATATTCTACTTATTTTAAAGAGGGCTCCCCAACTTCCTATCCATTTTTCTTTGGAATACAATATTTACTGCTTTATAGTTAAAGTAATATATGGTTCATGCCAATTTTTAGAAAGCATAGGAAAAAGAAAAAACATTTAAATGACTCATAACCTTACAATGTAAGAATAACTTATTTAGTAACATTTTTAATATTTCTAGTCATCTTATTTATAGTATCTGTTCTTTATACTCAATTAGTTGAAGGACTCAGTGAATTAAGCTTCCTTTTGAAGATACTGGAATCCTAACATTTATGATACAATTCTATAATCCTATATTTACTATATAATCAAACCAGAAACACCACCTTTTCTTTCCTTTACATACGCGTACTGGCAAAACACTTATTAAAGATAACTGACTGTATTCCTTATACTTAAAATATATCTTAAAAATTCTTACTAATGATACTGAGTCCATCTGAGAAAGAATCAACCTATGCTCTGAGTGATTTCTGAGGAGCAATGACTTACAGTTCAGATGAAGCTCCTGCAGTTGCTCCCTGGGTCCCTTTTCCAATCTGATCCTTCTTTTTACCCTTCTTTCTTCCCCGGTAGTAAGAACGTTCTCGCATTGGTAGCCATCTTTCTGGGTCTGGGGTCACCTTTGGGTCATAATTCTTAGGCAATTTTCCTGTGTAATAAGTGATAAAGAAATAAGGTATGTCCACAATGTTTTCAAGATAGTTTGCTTAAAGAATGTGTCCAGGCCTGGGAATAAATAACATTAAAACTGAAATAAGTTCATCTGAGAAAGTTTTATTTGTATAATCTAGCCAGGGAAAAGACCTTATTAAGCATGACACAAAATTTTCCATCAAGGAAAAGACTTTACATATGTATCTATTAAAAAATATTTTTTTAAAGTTTCATTTATTTTTAAATAATTTCTATACCTAATGTGAGGCCCAAACTCACAACCCTAGTATCAAGAGTTCTGACTGAGCCAGACAAGTGCCCCTATATAAAAAATATTTAATTTCATTTGGTAAGAGATACATTTTTAACAGAAATAACAAAAAAAATTTGCATATTATATGAGAGTGGACTGACATTCTTAATACAGAAAGAGGTCTTAATAATCAATAGATAAATCATGCAAAGAAAAACGGGCACTGCTGTAATTTGGGTAAGCCAGGAGAAACTAAAATCCGTAATCATGTGAAAAAATACTACCTCACTAATTATAAATGAAAAAGGTAGCAAAATTCTATCAAA